TTTGAAGCTTAATGAATTGTGAGTTGTGAGTTGTTTTCTTTAATCTTCTTCCTTGAGTATTAACTATTAGTTCTTTCCTTAATACTATCTCTATATTAATGTTGGGGATTGTTGCTAAGATGACAATTGGTTAACATCTTGACATTAGTTATAGTAGTATTTTCTTCCTCTATATTAATCTTGGGGAGTGTTTCTAAGATTACGATTAGTTAACATCTTGATATTAATTATAGTAGGATTCATCTTCTTTAATAATATTCTTCCTTGAATATTAATTAATTCATATTCATATTTCATATTAATATTTTGAGCATTACTTAAGGGATCAACTAGTTTCGTTTCATATATTAATTATTACTAGAATCAATCGATTAATACGCTTGTTATTAATTCGGTTCGTTCAATGGTAGTAAACTTGGATTATTAATGCATACGTCTCATGGTTAATAATCTAAGGGTAAGGGGAATTAATTATATTGATTAAACCAATAAACCGCTCGTGTTGAGGTTATCAATCTCAATCGTTTTCATCTTAAGTTTATTGCTACTATCGGGTTAATATACGACGCGTGTTCTATATTGACTCGGTAGTAAGTTTTATTAATGAATGCGTCTTGTTATTAATAACCACCCTCGATGAATTGGATATACTCATCGGTTGAGTATTCGAGGGGCAGATAGTTAAAGATATAACCGGGATCGACGAACATTTCATTAAGTGGATAAAAGCAAAACCAAGTACTTATCTCTATTAATTAAACTTATATAAGTCGTTCATCTTAGTGTTAATTAAATTAAATCAAATCAAATCTAAAACCCCATTTGTTACTAGAATTTAATTAAAAAGAAAAGTATCCTTTCACTGTGGATACGAACCTTACTACACTATACTACGCATAAGTGTTGTATTGTAATTATTATTTTGAAGTGCACACCACGACAAAGTGCACGTCATGAGACAGGATGTTGTCCAAGCATTAGAGGGGTACAACAGAAACAATCTAGGAACAGAAGAGAATGATGGTGTTAAATTAGGACTGTTCTATGCTCTAGCACATGGACTGTTTGGAAACCAATACACGATTCACTTGCCAGGAAGATATATTAACTTGGTACAAGACTTAGATGCATTCAATTCTTATCATTGGGGTGATGATGTTTGGGATGACCTACTCACAACTATGAAGAACAACACATAAGCACTCAAGGCCTGCACAGGAAAAAGAGTGGCATTCACAGGTTGTATGCATGGAATCCAAATCTGGTCCTTCGAGACCTTTGCAATATTGGCTAATGAAGGGCTATGCAATGTTATAACAGAAAGAGAAAATGTCATTCCTAGGACATTAAAGTGGGCTTTTCAGAAGAAACCATCAATTCAAAGGTTTTGTGAACTCATTTTCAGTAATGATAAGGTAAATGCAGTTAAATTATGCACAATTATATACGTAAGTAGTTACAAATTTGCATACTGTTACAAATAATATATTTTTAATCAAAGTTTAATTGCCAATGTTACAGTCTGAGTGGACAAGAACAGTTCCAAGTGCAGAAGAGATCCAAAGAATGCAAGGACTTGTAGGAGGGGAAAGCAATGAAGCTAACAAGGACATGTGAATTGATGCAATCATAAAGAACACAAAGCAGAGCAAAATGGATGCAAGAAAAAAAAACAGAGAGCAAATTCAGAAGGCAACAATAAAAGCACAAGGGCGAGAAAGAAAGAAAAAGGAGAGTGTAGTAAGCGAGTGTTGAGGAAAAAAGGGAGGGTGGTTGATAGTGAAGAATCTAGATCCAATGAGAGTGAGGATATGACAAAGGCAGGAAAAGGCATAATCATGAAGACACTAGCCAAACAATCCAAAGACATTGCCAATATGCATGCAGAGATAAAAGAAATGAAAAAAAGTAAGATGAAATGCTAAAGAAGATTCTAAGTCTTGTAAAGGAAATATCAAAGAGACAAGGAGAGAAGGAATTGAATCACATCGAAGAGAAAGAGCAAGGAGGACAAGCAAGAGAGGATACACATGTGATGAAGGATGGAATGGAGATGGAGGATGAAGCTATGAAGGATGTGAGTGATCACAACAGTAGCACGCATGCTAACGAGAATGAAAGTTCTGAAGAAGATGCTCAACAGAATGACCAAGTAATGAAATAAAAATTCTTATTTCCATATAAGACACTTATTTCCATTTTATATGACATTATATACAAAAGGTTGAGTTACATATATAAAATGAAGTTAATATTTGTTCAAGGAGAAGAAGAAAGATGACCAAGAAGCAATACACAATATCTCTCATGATTTAGAAGAAGAAGTGGACAATGAAGTAGCAGGGCTAGATGATGAAACAATTGCAGAAAAATTGCTAAAATGAAGAATGATGCTCCAAATTTCAGTCTCTTAAGTCAGACTGATGAAGGAAAAGAACCAAGTGAAGAAAAAATGAAAGTACAAGCAGTGAGGATGAAGAGAACATGGAGCAACAAAGTTTTTTGGTAATGAGAAATTACAAATCAAATTTATTTTGTAATTTGGTTTCTATTTATCACAAGTTTATTTATTGTAGGGCAAGAAGATGAATGATAAAGAGAAAAGCATGGATGCTAATGGCAGTAAAAGTAGTGCAGGGGATACCCAAAAAGAGGTATTAATTTAATATTTTTTCAAATGAGACAATGCTATTGGATATGGCATCAATTTACATTTATGTTACAGGAGCAGGAGAAGTATCAGAAAACTTGTGAGGAAGTAGATAATGAAGTTTGGAGTCAGGAAAACACACAATTCATTAAATAATTGGTTCTGAATGCCGAGATGATTGAAAGACAAATGCTCGGAAAATGAACCTTGGACAAAGAGAAGGAAACAAATAAGGAGACAGAAGAAATTGGAAGCAAACTGCAGGTGATGACAGTAATTTGAGTGTAAAGTATACATTATTACATTAATGTCATGTACAGTGAATTGATTATTGACTTACGATTGTTTGTTGTTGTCTAAAACTAAAAGAAAACATCTAAACAAACTCAAAGGGTGAAAAGAAGTGTCAAATCTCCAGATAGATACACACCAGCGAGGCAGAGCGCTGAGGCAAAAAGAAGAAGAAAGGAAAGAGCAAGAAAAATGGCAGAAGAAGAATTCTTACCACCATGTAAATAGAAGTATGGGCCGTTCTCAGATGACCCAACAGATCCTGTTGGTGAAGAGGAAGTCAAAAAATTCAGAAAGTACTTAGAGATTGGGCTACTGAAAAAACCAAAGAAGGAACACAACGAGATGAGAAGATATAGGATGGAGGACGAGAAAATGTCAAGTAATCCATTAGTTTTGGACACCATGAAGATAGAGTCCAAAACTTGGATGCATGATCTATCTCTAAACCACCAATGGCTGTCTGACAAGGTATAATTTATCATACAATTTATCAATGACATCTTAAATGGAAATAAAATGAAGAAGATGGCATTAGCATACATGTTATTTATAAGATATTTTTGAAATAATGGCCTTATCTTTTTAACTGTATCTATTTTTTGCAGCATATAGAAGTGGGGATGTACTATCTAGAATTGAAACGAGTACACTACAAGTTGAGGCAGAAATACACAACAATAGGACATTTTTTCATTGAAGTGCTCAAGAGGGAACATGAAAATATTTTAGAATGGAAGACAACAGTGAAAGACGCAGCAGAGAGGGACATTGTCTGCAACTACATTCTGGGAACTTCAACAAACTACTCGCTGCACTGGGCAGATGCTGACTTCGTCTATATGCCTTTGAACACAGAGTGTCATTGGGTGTTGTTGGTCTATGAAGTAAAGACAAGGAATATGAAAGTGTACAACTCAAATAAGGGGAGGGGTGAATCCCTACGCGACATCGTGGCATACAAAGCTTGCATTCAAAAAATGCTACCCAAAGTTATGGATTACCACACATTCTATGAAGCTAAGGAAGAAGAACCAATGGGAGAGAGACAAATTGCTATTGAAAGTGCAGAAGATTGCCCACAACAGGACTCATCATAAGAAAAAATAATAATAAATTAGCTACATGAAATAATATTGTATGAAAAACTAGTATCAAGGGTGTTTGTTGCAGGGGAAATTGTGGAACGTTTCTACTCAAAATTGCGGAGTTCTTAATGGTGGAGATGGATTTCTGCGAACTGACACCTGCACACATGAATATGTTTTGTAAGAAAATGACTTTGGAATTGATTCAATACAACATCAAAAGGCAGAGCAAGATACATGAGAAATAGAAAACATATGTCAGTGATGTCTTTAATGAAATATGTGTTGAGTGAATGAAACTAAATAGACATGTAGTTGGGTTTGAATGTGTACTGGTTTTTGCGTTTATTTGCGTTCTTTTGCAGAGCTACTTGTTTAAAACATCAGACATGTTGATCGGAATTGCTGAAACGTTGGCATTTACTGACATTTGTTTTACCATGTGATAAAACAACTATAGCCAGTGTTTGGAAATTATTGTCATTATATTTGGTCATTAAATGAAATTACGTGTTTGGCAGAAGAAAAACAGGATTGCTTGATACTTATTCACATAATATATATATTTTATTAAAATACGTTGGCATTTACTGATATTTGTTTTACCATGTGATAAAACAAATATAGCCAGTACTTGGAATTTATTTTCATTATATTTGGTCATTAAATAAAATTACATGCTTGGCAGAAGAAAAACAGGATTGTTTGGTACCTATTCACATAATAGTTTTTGTTTAGAAAAATAAAATAAATAGAAGTTAATAGGTAATCGGATTTTCTAATGCACTAAACTGCTTTATTTACATGATTTTAAAATTAAAATGCAATAAAAAGGTAATAAACAACAAGTAATAAGTACATTACTTATTTGAATCACTATGATTGCATGTGAACACAAAAAGTTCAAATAATGTTTGACATTAATGACATTACTTTGAAATATTACCAGAAAAACTTGGCAATTAGTGACAATAACTGTAGTAACTACATAAATGTATGTATTTAATTAGTATGAAAAAAGATACAATAACATGTACTTTGAGTGACGTTAAATAATAGTCACATTATTGAAACAATATACAAACAAAATAAAATAATTTTGAACAAATATATGAAGTTTGTTATTTAAAACATATACAAGTATGTTCTATTACAACATATTACTTAAGAACGTATAACAGAAGCATTTCCAACAAACTCAATAATGCGTCTCCCTACTCTATTAGACAGTATAAGTGTTTTAACGAGGAATTGGATTGCCACAAGTTTTTTTGTTGTGTCCAAGAGCACGACAACGAGAACACCTTCGACGTTTTGATCCACGAAACTCTCCGATGGAAGGAATTTTGGATTTCTTTGGACGGCCAGGAGGTCTCTTCAAACAATTTAGAGGCTTGCATGCAATACTAAGAACACTCTCTGGAATTGACCATGACTTTGGATCTGGAATTGTATGCATGGTACCACTCCGTGTAGACAGTCATGCATCACGAGAATAATAAGGAGAAATGAAATCACAACAAGAGAGGCCTGGTCGAATACGAAGAGAAGCAACACCATGTACACAAATGAACTCATCCAATTGAAAGACACCACATGAACGAGTCTTCTTTGTCAGGTTAACAACAAATGATCGGTAATCCCTATCAATAATTGAATAAGTAACAAAGTAATTTTCCAGAATAAAAATGTACTTAAAAAGTGAAGGTAATGCATAACAATTCAGGGAACTAAATGCATAACAATTCAGGGAACTAAAAGTAATACTTGCATGTGTGTAGATGCATAATGAAATGAAACTAAATGTTTTTCACATTTACTGGACAAAATGGTAGTTTTTTAGAAGCCTTTTCACTTCTTTCCGTTAACCACTTTTGCATTTGTTGACGTATAAAGTCAATGAGCTTGGATATAAAATACTCCCTGCCAGTAACATTAACCTTATTTAGTAAGGCGACACAATTAGAGGTAAGCACACCAAATCTTCGTGGACCAACCATACACCTAACCCATTTGTGACTCCCAATCTTATTTAACCACGGACGAATCTTGACATTATCAGAATCTAACGTAGCTAGGTATTCTTCATATTCAGGAATAGTGGCAGCCATTTAAGCAGCCTTAAACTTCCACCCAAGCCTATCACCAGAACCCGTGAGTTTGTAAATAAGATTACGTCTAAGGTGTTCCACACAGAAATCATGAATAACATGTGGAAAAATTTCAGAAACAGCTTTGGTAAGTTTTTTATGGTGATATAAAACAATATATAAGTCATGATGGTACTTAATAGTATCACGCAACTTCATCAAAAACCATTTCCAAGAAGTTGTGGATTCAGAATCACAAATGCCAAAAGTCAAAGGAACAATGTGCATATTTGCATCTTACCCACAAGCTGTTACCAACGTTCCTTTGTAGTAAGCCTTCATAAATGATCCATCCACGATTAGCAAAGGTCTACAAAACTGCCAAGCATCAGTCCACGTTGTGAGAGAAAAGAAAAATGACTGAAACGTGTCATCAACACCTCTAACAAGACTTATTGAAGATCCATGATTTGAATGGTCAAGCATGTGGGTCATGGATGGTAAAAGTTGGTACGAGGTTGGATCTGAGCCAAACTGCTTTCCCATTACAAGTTTTTGCGTTTTCCAAGCTTTCTTATACGACAGTGAAATTCTAAATTGCAATTCCATGTCATTCCGTAACTGCTTGGGAGTATATGGTTTTTCCGAAGCATCAAGATATTTGTACGCAACCATACCTGCAATGATATCTGTTGTAGCTTGCATGTGGTTAACTTGTCTGTAATCAACCGAACAAGTATGTTCAGGTTGAAACCTGGAATGCATCAAACAGAATACTGCCATCACACAAACATGACAATTGAACTGAACTTATGACAATAAAAGACAAATAGCATAAGTCAAAGTAATGAATTTTGTTAATACCTTCTAATCTGAAACATATTGACTACAGATAATCTAACTGCGCGCACGGTCCATTTGCATTTTTTATCCTTACAAATGACATGAAGGGAATCTTTCTTTGATGTAAGGGTTCTATACTGAAAAGTGTTATTGATTGCATACATTTTCAAATGGTGGATAAGAGCAACCTTGTCTTTATAGATGACAAGAGGAATCAGACAAGTATGATGATGATGTGTAATGACCCCAACATTATGGTGAAGGGTAAAACTTTTAGAAGAAGATGATTTAGAACTAACAGAAGAAGAGATAGCAATTGAGGTTTCTTGAACATTAGAAAAATCAGATGATGAAGAATCATCATGTGGTTCAAGGTTGTGCACAACCTCATGATCAGAAACATTAACATGTGATTCAAGATAAGCTTCAGACAACGGAGAAGATACAGTTGAATTATTAGAAAGAGGAACTGTGTTGTGAAGTAGTGAGGAAGCATCAACATCAACAACTTCATTACCAACAAACTGAATACATAATGGAAACTTCTGAAAATCAGTTTGAAGAAGTTTAAGATGAAGATAAAATTTGAATGTCTCTTCATTGTGAATACAAACTGGTGGGGACATCCATCAACCACATAAAGTTTGGCTGCTCATTTTCTAGCAGCCCAACCGAATACTCTTTGGCAGATTTATCAGTGGCCCAATGATCTTCTGGGTCAAGCTAAGCAGGCTTATTTTGCGGATTACTTTGGTCTTCCTAGTTTTTGCTTTTTATAAACCTATAAAATATTTCAGTCTCTTTGTTGGGATCAATTATCATGTATTTGAACTATCCTTTTATCAATAAAATTTCGATAAATGTCCCTTGTCATTTACCCCACTGATTTCGGTGGTTTGCCTTCCGGGGTAAAAAAAGAATGAATGGTTTGATTTGTACAGATTTAAGATTTGACTCATACTTTGAATAAAAGACACATATATCGCATCTGCACGAATTTGAATACCACACATGTCCCTATGAGTGAAAGTACAATTACTCAACCATATACCATCAAGTTTGACCATAAGTAGCAAAATAGTATCCATTTTGAAGATATGATTGCCTAAAAAAAATTAAAAAAAGTGTTATGCTAAATCATGAGAGAACATATTTAAATCAGAGACAACAAGAAAGACTATATAAAAAAATGCAAAAAAACAAAAATGTAAGCATGTATTTAACAGTGAATAATTCAAATTCAGTTCACAAAATAAAACACACCAGATGGCATTAACAGAAAAGAGGATGACAATAATTGATTAACTATAATCAGTTAAGAATAATTGGTGAAGAAGATACTGAAAATCAACGTAATCAATGTGTATGCTTAAATACCTAAACAAAAGCAACTTAAATCAGCAAAACAATTTCGCAGTAGTACAAAACTATAAATCATGAAGTATCGATTAAGTAAACAATGAAGTATCGATTAAGTAAACAATGAAGTATCGATTAAGTAGAAGCATAGATGAGATAAAGGATGGAGTGAAAACAGTTCAAAAAACATGCAGACGTAAATTCATCGAGGATTGAAGAAGAGTATTGAAACATAGTAAAATTAAGATCAACTTACTACAGAAGCTTGAAGAAGAACGGAAGATTGAAGAAGAACGGAAGCTTGAAGGATTCTCAAAATTGGAACGAAACGTTGGATCATGTGCGGATGTCGTGTAGCTGATGATGAACGGAAACCTTGAAAACGGAACTAACAGAGCAACAAAAGACGGCGCAACTAAGGGGCGCGTATAAACAGGGGCAGTTTAGGAATTGGCAACAAACTACTCCTATTTAGGGAATATTTTAAAGAGGACTCCCATTTAGGAACTTTCCTACTCCGTATTAATTTAGTCATATTTAAGGCAAATACTTTAATAAAAACCCAAACTAGATCCAATACGATCCGGACTAATCAGATTTGATCTCGTTCTAGAATGAAATTATATGCATCCGATATTAGATAATTCTATAGAAATTAGTTCAAATAGGACTAAAACTATGGCAAAAACCTAAAATAGGACTTGCTATGTTTTTATTCCAAAATAGGACCATATGAGTCCTATTGGAAACATACCTATTTTTGCATTCCATTCTTACCCTTCCATTAAATATGAATTAAAAATAGTCAAAAGCCATAATTAAATGTTTAATTCATAATAAATTCGAAAAAATTCAAAAATTCGTAGAAATATAATTAAAAAATTTATAAAATTTTTAAAAAATAAAAAATTCAAAAACTTTTTTTTAAAATAATTTTATTTTTAAAAAAATTAATAAAAAATAGTAAAACTCCGTAAAAAAATTTAAAAAAATATGGATGCCTTTCCCACCGCTTGTACTACCTCCCAACACCACCACCTCCGGCCGATGAAAAAAATGCCATTTTCCCAGAAAAATGCCATTTTTTTTGAAAATGCCAAAAAAGTGGCATATTTCTCTTTTCGAATGCCAACATTTTCAATTTTTTCTGCCATAAATATGACATTCGTAATGAACTTGACATTTTTTTCCCCTGGTGACCGGAGGTGGTGCTGCTGAGGCGGCAGAGGCGGTGGCGTTTTTTTTTTGAGTTTTTTTTTTTTAATTTTTTTAATTTTTTGAAAAAAATAATAATTAATCTTTTAATATCGAAATGTTTTTCTTAATTTTTTAGTATTTTTTACGAATTTTTAATATTTTTTATTATTTTATTAGGAATTAAAACATTTTAATAGCTATAAGGGTATAATTGTCCAAGGTACACATAATTAGTCATATGCAAACATAGTTTATTTTTTGGTCCTATTTGTGAAAAGTGAATGATTTTTAGTCCTATTTTGATAATTAACTCATAATTCTATGCTCAACCACAATATTGCTATTTACAAGCACATAGTTAAATTTTAATAAAAAATGTATATTAAATGTCTATTTGCCATGATGTTAATATATCACCATCATCGTTGCTTCAATTCAACCCAATCAATTGCAACCTAACCATTGCTAATTTGCTATCAATTTTCCGGAGCATTCTGTCGTTCTGCCATTGAAACCTTCTTTAAAAATGCGCTGCAAGGATCCGAAAATAAGCAAGTCTTCAAAAAGGGATCAAATTCTTAAGTTTAGTTTCCTATGAAAGCCACCTCTTGTAACAATAAGATTGAAAACGGACGCCATGGATCTATAACGAAAGATAGCTATTAATCTTATAAGCAGTTGAACACATAAAATAAAAATTGAATGCAAGATTTAATCTATCTAAGGAGCCATTAATCTAATGGGCAGTTTGTTTTTTAAAAGATTAATAGAATAAGTCATGTATCTGTTGTCGCCAAACAGAGAGATGCAAAAATTTGGAAGTTTTTTACCTTTCCCTGGTCTGAGATATCTACGACTTTCTGGAAGGGATGGGGGAGGAAGACGAGCAAAGCCGGTCTAAGTCTGGTGGGGACGGCGAGGAAGACAAACAAGGTTGGACTGTCGATCGCTGTATAGTATTCCGGCGGGAATGGGAAGGAAGAGAAGGGGAAGAAGACGAGTAAGATTGAAGGCAAAGGTGCGGACTATGGAGGAATTCCAGTGTACTCCATCATCTAGCTTATTTTATTTAGGAAAGATAACCGGCAGGCGTACCTGAATAAATACTACTCGTACGTACTAAACAGGGGTGCGAGAAGAATAAGTCTAGATTTCGAATCTCAGCAACTGTGATGAGACCATACTATACTAAAATGTATAGGACCTATGCAAGTATCAGAGCGAGAGCCTCATTTTCTATCTGCTAACTTATTTACGATTAAAATCCAATTTACATCCTCCCATCTAACTGTTCCATCGGTATTGGAACCTCAAGGATTGGGTGTCATCCTTTTTTAGGAAGTAGGAATGAGCTGGTTGGATGGGTTGTATCTTGTATATGTTTAGGGGCAAAACAGGTATTTTAAAATAGATTATTTAATTAATTTAATTTTGTGACCGTATATAGAATGACCCTTTTGTTTTTTGGAGATTCAAGTTTCAATCCAATCGGTTGCTCCTGTCCGGTCTTGTCTTGACCCAATGGTCACCCCTACATGCCCGTTAACTTATGGGCCTCACATTCTACAAACGGACTCAAGCCCAATTTCTAAATTGTTTCTACAATTATTACGACGAATCTAAAATGAAGCATCCAAAACCCATGATTTCGCAAGCTTCCCCGCTCTTGGCTTCCAATTCAACAAATTGCAGTGCTTCCATATGCATCGTCACTCGTCAGGTATTTCTTTTTCTACTGTGCTTTTTATGGAGTTGTAGGGAATTTGCAGAATCGATCAGATTCTAGTAGAATTGTTTCCCAGAATTCAGACCTTGTTTCAAACCTCCTCCACAGTCAGTCTTCCCTATCTTGTGCTGCCTGTGCGGCTGTGACTCTGTTGCGGACTCGTAGGAGTCGCAGCGACCACGTCTGACGGCTCCACACCTCCGCGGTTCGCAGGAGTTGCAGCGACAATCAGTCTTCCCTGTCCTGTGCGGCAACATGCCTCCGCCTCCGCTCCTAGCCTAAGTCTCAGCATCCGAAGTAGTTCTCCTACAGATTCCGATGAATTCTTAGGGGATTGGTGAGATTGTGGGTTGGATATTTCCTTCACATTTTAGCCCAAAAATCCTTTCAAATCCTTAGAAATCCAAGACATAGAAAATCCATGGAATTGTGAGGATATCAGATTTAGAAGGATTCCATTGAATTCCATGTTGAATTATAATTAGGGACACCCCTATGTTTCTTCTTCCGCCTTCACTGCTTCAACTTCAAATCTCATAAATTATCCAGACATGAAACACCATTAGATGTCTTTATAGTTAAAAAAAATTTGATGGTAGTAACTCCAAATCGAAACACTAATCTACAGATTAGCCCTATATTTTCGATTAAGATATTTATAAAACACCACTCTCATAAATCTTATTTCCATGTCTATGTTAAGTATTCTGTATTTTCTTTGTTATAATTTTTTAGTTACACAGATTTATATACTTTATCTACAACATATGATTTGGCTGTATGTTTGTTGTTGTTTTGCAATTTATCATTTTGTAATTAGAAGCATCAATTACATTAGGATTTAGGACTAAAACGTTTTTCCTGAACTTCAGTATCATCTGTTATATTGAGAAATCTGCATAACTGCATTTATGCCAGTTATTTTATTGCTTAGGCAACATAAAATTTCATGTAGAGATGCTGGGTTGTAGGTAATGAGAAGTGAACATCTTCAGTTCAATTATATACTCCGTAATATACATGACTCCCAAAAAGATATACACGACTTGTTTTCAGCCCTCCATTATTCAGTGATATAAATTTCAAAAAGCTTGAATTTGTTATATGGAACCAAAAAGGAACTATCATTATAGTCATAGACTCATAGTTAATAGTGGTCTTTTGTATTACTCTTTGCACAACTCCCATGCTGTGCATCTTATTGCAAAGAACTAAATTATCTAAAGTCTAAACATTAAAGCGAATTATAAAAAAAGGCAGATGCTTTAACAAAGAAATCTGTGAGATCCTCAAGGTAAGGCCCCCGCCTGCCTTTTCCCCTTGCATATTGGCAGAGTCTACACTTATCTTTGCTACTTTCTTCAGTCAATTTTGATGAGAAAATTGCAAAGCAAACTTCATTAATATATCGAGAGAGATTTTCATACCTTATATACCAATCAACTTCAAGAATTAGGTTTTGCTTATGTAGAAATGGTGGGTGAAGAGAAAGAAAGCAATGGATTTGGTGGTAGCAACTGTATAAGACTTATGGTAAACAATAGTCAGGCAATGAAGTCTGCCAGTGCTCCTGGCATTGAAATTGCAAATGCTAGTGGGAGATCTGCAGACGCTTCTGGAAATTGTTTAAGAACCTACAAGAGACGAAAGGGATTAAAAGCAGAAGGAAAGGTTTCAGAGGATTCAGCTGATCAAGTTAGTCATAAGGTCAGCTGACATTTGATGTTCCCTACATTCTCTGCATCAACTTTCTGTTATCTATTTCATTATTATTCGTATAGATAGTAGGCTGATTAAGGACTTGATGCATGCAAGACTTTGAATTCAAAACCAATGCTAGCTTAAGAGGAACTGAATTTATTAAATAGAACAATAATATACAAAGAGAGAGCTGACCAGTATATGAGTATATGTAAATCAAACATAAATGGTCAAGCCAAACTCCAGCTAATCAAACCAAGTATCTAACTACCATGTGGGCAAAGCTGACTAATATAAGCTGAATCCGGCTGAATTTGCTGTCTTGGCTGATAGCTCACAATCCTTACATATGTATTGTGTGGTAGACTTAGTGCTGCTTCACGATGGAGCATATGTGTCATGAGGACTGTCAAGCTCAGATTACAGTTACAAACTCCAAAAATAATTATTTGTTCCTGGTATGCAGCCCGCCACCAAGCTAAATAGGCATTTCACTCGACCTGTCAGACTGTCACATAGACAGAATTCAAAATTTTTGTAAAGAGGATAAAGTGAATATAGTTTTTGATTTTTCTCCTGCTGTACTTCAAGACTCTGTTAGCTGACTCCAGACTCTTTTGGGACTAAGGCTTGGATGTTGTTGTTGTAATATACTTCAAGACTCGATGAGATGTTTCTGATGAGATTTAGTCATAATGCGTACCATTTTTTCAGTAGCTCTGTGTCTAATATCCAAGTGGAAGTAGTACATACTGTATTAATCAGATCATTGCAAACAGAAGTAATAAGGGTGTATATTGAAGAGCGGTCAACAAATATGCTTTAGGCAAATCGATAAGACTCTGGCAGAATAACACTGATAATAATAAATAAGAGTAATAATAATATTAGAATAGTTAGTATAAATAGATGTTGAGGGTAGAATAGAGAGAAGGGGGGAATTGTTATTTGGGCTTGGGACTTGGAGAGTGGGCACTCTTAAACTGCCTGTGTATTTCTCTCTATACATTTTCTGTTATATGATACTTCCACATGATATGCCATCTCTTTCTTCATCTTGTTTCTTGAATTCACCATGAATTAGCTAGTTACTTAACATTGGTATCAGAGCTGTTCTTGATACCTGTTAATGGTCGCCATTAGAGGAAAGATGGAAGCTAGGCTGGAAAATTTTAAAAGCAAGCCGGAGAAGTATCGCATAGAGGTGAAACGCGAACTGGAGAGTTTTCGCGAAGAGAGGCGGAACGCTATGGTAGAGTTGCGCAAATTGATACTGCAACGGAACGATCGGCATGAGCGAGGAAGATCGAGGACCATAAAGAGCTGCCGGAACTCCAAAAACAAGAACAGTTCGCAAACTGCTCTTCAACTTTCGCAGACTTCATCGCGTTCACAGAGCTCGTCGCTACTTGATTCTCTGAGTTCACAAGCTTCATCTCAGGCGCTAACTTTTTTACCAGTTCGCCTTTGCCAACCGAGAATCACCGATCATCATCGCAAGTCGATTCTCACCCTGCGCAAGCCTTTTTTCCAGAGCCATAAACCTCGCTGATTCTGGAAATGGATTGCTGGGGATTCCACCATCGATAAAGAATATTGAGTTGAAGCCAGCTGAATCTGTAATCAAGAAACCGAATCTGGAAGAAGAAATCGAGGAGCAAACTACAGTTATTGATGGACCTGAAGCGGGCACAATTGCTTGTTTTCTGAAGTACGAGTCCGTCAAGTCAGTCTCAGGAACCAATATTTTCAAGATTCTTCAGGTATGTGATATTGCGGCTTGTGTGGCAAAGTCCACAATGACTTTTAGTTTCGTACAAGAGATGAACTGGCCTAATGTTTTAAAGTCTGAAATGGTGAACTTTCATTCATTAAACATTACTTTGGAAGGACTGAAGTCATTTAACAAGTTTGATAGTTTTAGATGTGAGGGTGATACTTCTATGATGGATAATAAAAAAGGGTATGAAGGAGGATTTACCGGGAATATTGCAGAATATGAGGGATATGTTACTGGTGTTGAAGTTGACATGTATTGGATGTTTGTTAAGGATATCACTCTTGTCGTTTCCTTGAGGCCATTATAGTTGGTGAAGTGGTTATGAGACTGCCCTTTGTTTATATAATTGTTCAAGATTGTTGTGTAACAGAAAATAAAATCAACGGGGTAAACCGTTGCCCAGATAATCAACGATAAAAATACCGTTGCCCAGAGCCAAAAGGCTAAACTTCAATTTTATTCCAAGATAATCAGAATGAACCCTGGCGAGGGGTATAAATAGCCTTCTACCAGAAACCCTAATCAAGCCCAAATTAATTAAACCCTAATTAAGCCCAAATTAACTCAATTAAGTACTCTACTAATAATAGGCCCAAACTAAAACATAACATTAACTTAATAATAATAATTAACTATAAAGACAGCCCTAACCCAGCCCACGGAAGTGGGCCCAAGCCCGGTCCCGCCCCATGCTCTTCCCGCTCTCTATCAATCCATCCTCCTTCAAAATAACCTTGTCCTCAAGGTTGAAATCTCACAGACGGGGAGCTGAAATTCCCAGACATAGATAGACTGGAAAATATCCTTCCTCTCTTTCCTGAACCCTTTCCTGACCGGTAATTTCACAGTACTCATGCTATCGGAGGTCCAACTCTTCATCCTCCTCGGCTATCATTACCTGCAGCTGCTTAAAGGGTCAATCATGCCCCGGTGTAAATGGTTTTTTACATCTAAAGCATAATCCTTTCGCCCTCAATTCTGCGAACTCCTTTGGCGGAAGACGAGTGAACTGAGAGCGTGTCGTAGGCTGCCCGGACAGCCCTGACTTCATCCTCGGAGGCTGCCCACTATCCTTCGGGAAGCTGCCACTTGATCCCTGTAGGCTGCCACCACCGGCAGTCAACGGAGGACTCGTGTTTGGCATTGAAAAGCTGCTGGAACGTACCCCTGAAGGCTTATAATTCGGGCTACCACTTCCTCCACTCTGGACGGACAGATTGTACTCCACATCGCGAGCTAATTCCATGGCCTCTTCCAAATTATTCGGTCGAAATAAGCGCAACGAGCTTCGAATTGCTTCCTCAAGTCTTAGTTTAAAAAAGCGCGCCTGAGGCGCGCAAAGGCGCTAGGCGCATATAGGCGCTAGGTTCATCGCAATTAACTTACCAAGGCGGCGCAGGTTCCTAGAGGCGATCGCCTTTCTTGCTTAAGCGTGCCTTTTGCGCTTCTAAGAGGCGAGCGCAATTGACGCCTCAGGGAAGTAAGCTCCTTACTCGTCACTCCTCTCTAGTCTTCTTCTTCGTTTCTGCCTTCTTCCGATATATCTGGCGTAGCTCTGAGCCTCTGAGTCTTCCGACTTAACTTGTGCGCTGCTATCTCGCGTCGCAGGTAAGTGTTTACCTTTTTTGTCTTCTGCTATTTATTTTATTTTATTTTAAGTTGTTATATTTATAAAAATACTACGTATTAAAATTATTTAAATAAAAGTTAGATAACTGGTATAGTATTATCTTTCGCTATTTATAAGTTTTGATAGATAACTGAAAAAAGTTAAGTATTTTAAGTTTTTAAATTTAACAAATTATTTAAATTATTTAAATTTACAAATCTGTCTGTGATTCTTTTTACAGAATTGTATTTATGTGATAGTTTATTAATTAAATATGTATTATTTTATACTCCGTAGTATATTCCGTAACAATGATAATATCATAATACTATATCATATACTCTGTATATTGTAGTGTTAGAACACTGATTTATTAAGTATTAACTATGTATTGCATAAAATGACAGTTTTTATTTTTAAGATTTTTTAACAATTTTTTATATAACAGTTTATTACATTAATTATTTAAATTACTATTAACAGTTTTTATATAACTTAATTATTCAATTTATCACAAAATGACTATTAATTGTTTATGAAGGAAATGTTTGCTACTCTCGATAATGAGGATGATGACGGGGATGAATTCTAGGCCTAGATTTCACAATTGTGCTTGCGAGTTTGCTACTTTGCTTTTTAGTTATGTTTTGAAGTTTTAAGATTGAGTTTGTAACTTGACTTTTGGCAATTATGCCTTTAAACATATATTTTTTGCTTCTGTCTTATTATCTTTAATGAATATTCTGTTTCTCTTATGATGTTAAGATTGTTTAATAGTTTGAAGTATTTTTGAGAAGAGTGCTTCATGTAGAAGTACTAAAAATATATTTCACCAAAGAAATGTGGCTGAGATCCGTGAGGCGCGCGCCTCACCGCCTAGCGCCTCGCGCCTCACCGCCTAGCGCCTCGCGCCTCGGGTAAATCAATGAAATCGCCTCGAGCCGCCTCGTGCCTTTTAAAACTAAGCCTCAAGTCCACTCATGTAGTAGCCCAAATAATGAGCATCGGTCAATCCAGGAACTTGGCTAGCCAGTTGAACAAACAAGGTATTGTATTCCTCTACTGATCCAATCTGTTTGATGCCGGAAAGCCTTTCAAATATATTCCCTTGGAATCGGGAATCGAATCTACCCACCAGGGCTTGCTTGAATTCTTCCCAGGTCATGTCTGGTTTGCGCGCTCTCAGCCATGTTACCCAATAGAGGGCAGCCCCTTCCATAGAAACCCTAGCCACTGCAACTTGTCTGTCCGGTGGGGTCCTGTTGTGCTCAAATTGGTGCTCCACTCTCACCAACCACCCAATTGGGTCTTCACCGTCGAACGAGGGAAGGAGAGCGGTGGCTGCGCTGGGCAGTCCGCCGTCGCTGGTGGCTGTTACGGTCGCACTCCCGACCGCAGCCGAGGTAGCTGCCTGCGATATCGGCGGCACCAAGGCCTGTGTGAGCGTCGCCAGTGATGCGATGATTTCAGCCAGCCGCATGCCATGCTCTTCCAGGGTGCTATTCATCTGTGCCTGCTCAGCCCCTAATCGGGCTTGTTCCTCTCCCAGTCGGTGTTGCTCGGTCTCTAACTCGGTCAATCGATCATTTTGAGATCTTGTCATCCTGGCGGGACGGGATCCGGCAGGTCGGACCAATTGTTGTGTAACAGAAAAATAAAATCAACGAGGTAAACTGTTGCCCAGATAATCAATGATAAAAATACCGTTGCCCAGAGCCAAAAGGCTAAACTTCAATTTTATTCCAAGATAATCAGAATGAACCCTGGTGAGGGGTATAAATAGTCTTCTACAAGAAACCCTAATCAAGCCCAAATTAATTAAACCCTAATTAAGCCCAAATTAACTCAACTAACTACTCTACTAATAATAGGCCCAAACTAAAACATAACATTAACTTAATAATAATAATTAACTATAAAGACAACTCTAACCCGGCCCACGGAAGTGGGCCCAAGCCTGGTCCCGCCCTTGCTCTTCCCGCTCTCTATCAAAGATAGAAGTGCAGATTTTGATTACAGGTTGCATATGGAAAATGTTGGTCCACTGCTCAAGATTCTCAGGAAAAGAGATACGGATCGAGAATGTGACAGTATGTTGAGAACAATTAGTAATAGAAGATGGATGGAGAGGTGTGTTGACATTGTTGAAAGTCAGGACCAGCTTTTGATTCTTGGGGTTGAAGGGTGCAAATGGGTACTTTCTGCAAATTGGGACTTCTTTGATTCTGGATTAAGATGGGATGATGAATTTGATCTTGGTAGCATTGTTGAAAGAAATGGTCTTCACCCAATAAAGGCGTTTGGTACTGTTAACAATTTTAAGAATCATGGCAATGTTTTTGAACTTATTTCAGGATACCTGATGTGTAGAATCAGTGTGGACCTGGACCACTGCTGTTAATGGACTAGAAGCTGAAGCAAATTTCCAACCTTACAAAATGGTCTTAGGCTCCAATAATCCAGAAGCGAATTGTTCCAGTAGTGTACTGGAAACTAAGCTAGGTGAAGATGTTGGAAAGATAGAAGTGGAACTATACTTGCCGGTAAAAATAGTTATGACTTTTTATTCCTCACTTGGGCTAATAATGTTGGATGCCTACCCGGTCATGGAAGCAAAGAGGTTTCGGGAACCCTTCTCCAATTGGCTGTTTGGAAAACTGTTTACATGTGCATCAGGAATTCGTTCCTCTGTTTCGGCGGTGGAAGATCTCAAGAAAAATACTTGGCTTAAGGTTGAATTGTTGGAAGCTAACAAGAGGAATGGGTTTCTCCTTGGAAAATATTTGGAGGTAGTAGATACTTATGCTATAGACATTGATGATATAGAGCAGATTCACATGACTCACATTTCAGTTTGTAGAAATAATTTGAATGGCATGGAGAGCGTTAATACTAGTACAGCAATAACAGCTCTACACTCCGCCACTAATTCTTTGAGTGTTGTTGTTGGTAAAGACACTTGCCAATTTTACTATTACAGGCTTAGCTCTGGCCATGAGAAAACTACATTTCACTTGACCAATGAACCCAACACTGAAGTTTCCTTTGTCCCAAGTGGTGATGGATATCAATGCGCAACTCTTTCTTCGCTTGTCAATTCCCCAGTATACATGCGGCAGTACATGGCATCAGGATCCAAATTGGCTGTGGGGTTTGTAAACTGCCAGGCATATTTGGGTATTCATCAAAATGTGGAGAAACCGGAAGGTGAAACCTCATATGAAAGTGGGGAAGAACTTGCTTTGTGCTTAACAAGAGATGTACACATTATTTTAATAAATATCAGCACTGGCAGTATAATCAATTCGCAGCCAGTACATCCAGAGAAGGAAATTGAAAGGAAAGATCAAACAGCACATTCGGGTCATGAGGAACAAAACAATTACAAAGATCCCAACAATCAGTGTGTTCTTCAGGCAATGAAGTTCATGGTCCCACAATCAGTTAGGTACTTGGAAGGGAGAGGCGCCATGATGAAGATAAAGTTGAAGGTCAAGGCGGTTTCCTATCACCTACCTTGAGGACAAGGTGGATGTTCAAGAGGGAGATATGATAAGACTCCGGCAGAATAGCACTGATAATAATGAATAAGAGTAATAATAATATTAGAATAGTTAGTATAAATAGATGTTGAGGGTAGAATAGAGAGGAGGGGGAATTGTTATTTGGGCTTGGGACTTGGAGAGTGGGCACTATTAAACTGCCTGTGTATTTCTCTCTCTACATTTTTCTGTTATACGATACTTCCACATGATATGTCATCTCTTTCTTCATCTTGTTTCTTGAACTCACCGTGAATTAGCTAGTTACCTAACACAAATCTAGGTTTAGTAAATATGGTTTGGATAAACTTAGGTCTCAGTAAAACTTGTGTGGGAGAAAATCAAGCAAACTACTTTTGGTGTAGACAAATGAAAGGAAATCATTTTGGGCAACCTTAAACGTGAATCCAGAAATGCAATAAATCTGGTCACATCTCCACAATTTGAAGTGTTGTCACTGATTTGGACATTTTTGGAGTTGAAGGAGGGTCTGTAGACCTTTTGTAATTTGTACTACTCGAAGTGAGTCCTACAAAAGGCATTACATTTATAGTCTCAACATGATGGGCACTTCTCCACTGGACTATAGCTCCTCCTTCACCTTAGCTAATATCAAAGAGGATAGCCATATTATTTTATATCACTTGCCACTTGTATTCCCCAATATACATTTAATAATTTAAGTAGAATATGAACTGAAAATCCAAGAAAGCATCAAGGAATTACACAGTTCCCAAGACAAAAACTGTTCCGTCACATTGAGATGTGGTGCATTCTTATTAAGATTATATCATAGCTATACAAGTATAAGGTATTCCACAATATTCAATTTAATGATTTAAGGGGAATATGAAGTATGAACTGACAACCCAAGAAAGCATCAAATTATTACACGGGAAAAAATAAAAAAAAAACAGTTCAGTGACTTCAGTCATATTGAGATGTGATGCTTTCTTATTAAGAGTATGATATTATATATTTATATGTTGTAGTGTAACCACAACCAAGGTTTAAAAGGGCTAGTTCAGATATCGATGCGGTTTTTTCCGGAGACGCGAGGCGTAAGAATTGAGGCGTATTGAGGTTTAAGCCTCAAAATGTACCAACAAATAAAACATAAAATAGTTAAACTAGTACTCCCTCCGTCCCGCTAACATTGTCCCATTTTACCTTTGCGGTCCATCCCACTAAGATTGTTCCATACCAAATGTGGTAAACCTCATAAACCATTTTTTATTGATTTGCGTGTCACTCCCTCTTGTCCCATTGTTAGTGGGACGGAGGGAGTAATAAACAATTAAAGAAATGCATAATTATAATTATAAGTCTTAAAAGACTGAAACACAAACACATATATGAACACAAGCCCTTGATCATCTGTTGGCAAATCATTTCATTTTCATTCGTTTTCATTTTCATTTACCCCAGTGCCGCAAAGGCTCTCCACCTACGGTGGGGTAAGGGGAGGTCGGATGTACGCAGTCTTACCCCTTTACTAAAGCACAGAGAGACTGTTTCCGGATGACCCATAGTGAAAATTGCGTTCAAACTTGCATGGACTGACTGCTGCTCCATAACAAAGAAGCCCTTGATCATCTGTTGTATATTTAAGGTGTCTATCTTTCAGTCTTTTGTAAAACCTTGACCATTCTAGGGAAACATGAGTACATGACCAACAACTCAGTATAAGAAGGAGAGAGAAGGAAAAGAAGTGAAGGTGAGGAGATGAAAAATGAGAAGAGATGTAGAAAAAGAGGAGGAGATGAGGAGAAGGGGATGAAGTAGAAAAGAGTTAGAGAGGAGAAGAGAAGTTACCTAGAAGAATAGAGTGTTCGTAAGAAGTTGTCGACTTCTTTGTGCAGGAGTACGGAAGTTTCTTTGTGCAGAAGTATGCAAACATTTTAACGATTAATGAATACTTTAAATGAAACAAGACTTGTTAGGGGTTTAGTGTGGACTATGGACACATGTTTAATGTATGGACCTTCTATAAAATAAAATACACTACGCCTTTCCTAAGTTACAATCCATTAAAAAGATAGAACAAAGGAAATTGTGCATCAGAAAACACCTCAAAGGCGCGCTGCTCGCCTCAAGGAGTACGCGGATACACCTTAACTTTCGAGGCATAAGCCTCTTGACGCGCGAAAAAATCTAAGCCCTGATACCTTCTTTGTACGCCTCACCTTGAGGCGCGCCTCAAACCCCGCCCTGTACGCCCACAACTTTATCACACTAAAAGTAAAAAGATGTCATACAATGAAAATGATTCTCTGAAGTGCTCCCAGTTAAGCAGTAATTTGGGAAGTACCATAATTTATACAATGTTGTTTTTGTCTATAGTCTATGCTATTGTCTTACACTGTTTGTCATTGTGCCTGCTGTTATTGTCTTATTGATTTCCTTCATGCTTCCTATCCATGTGAAATTAATGGTGCATTACTGCATTATTGTATTGGTTTTGAAGTTTTTTTTTTGCTCTGACTTTTATGCTCATTTCTGTAGATTTGTACCACACTACCACTTTGGCCTTTTTCTAACCACTACATTTTTTTAATGCTTCATTCGTTTGATCATTTTTGAATATATTTACTGCAGCCAGTGGACAGGAATTCTCATTCACAAACTAATGTTGCTCAGGGGGGATCAAATGACCATTTGAATGAGCCCATTAATCTCTCTAAAATCAGATTGAGGAATGTTGTTCTAGAGCAGATTTACCTATCATTGGAGAGTGAAAGTGGTTTGAAAAAATGCATAAGAGAGGCTTTAGTTTCACATCCTGACACTGAATGTGCAACTTCAGTCAAGGTAATTCAGTTTGATGTTCAATTAGATCATCACAACTCCTTTCGATCTTTTCAGTATTTTGTTTGTTATGCAAGGAATCCGTTAATTGCTGCAATGATGACACAAAGTGCAATCTTCCATCAAACTCGATGGCTTATGATGTCTTGGCTAAAGGGAATGTGGACGCGCCATCCACTGGATTAGTAAAGGGAACAGATCATTGCACAACTAGTCAGCTCTGCCAGCGCTGGTTTTCAGATATAATCTTATCCGAAGATTTTTCTCAATTATGCCACATGATTTTTGAGAACTTTGAAGGAACAAAGGCTGATAAGTTTCTCCATATTGGCACTATGCATTCAAAGATGAAAGATGGACTGTATGAAGATTCTCCCATGTCATTTTACTCTGATATTCAAGAGGTGCCTCTTTGAGTTCCCTAGATGAGGCTTTTTGCCATGCATTTAAGATCATTCTGTGGATGTGCTATACTGTGAGGCACATAAATAGGTTAGATGCTAGAAATTGAGGATTATGGGCTTAGATGGACTCTTTTGCTTCACTGGAAAACCACAATGTTTTTAAAACATATGGTTGTTTTGGCAGTATGACACTTGATTTATCTTTTAAAACTTTGTAGTAGTGTGTCAATGGCCATTTGAATTGCTTTTTAAAATTTTAACTTCCAAAATCCAAACAATTTATTCTGCATGCTAATATTTGGGAGCTGGATTCATGGGGATGTCTGAAAAAATTGTGGATGCATGGTAGTTATAGGTAGTCCATAGTCATACTTAACAAGGAAGAAATCTATTAGGATTAGAATCATTAGATTAACTAGGGACTTAGGGTTCCCTGCATTTGCTTCTACCAGACTGTGAGAGGATGCTATTATTGCTATGTTTTTAAATGTTAGGGTTCTGTTGTCCTATGGTAATGGGGTTATTATTCCAATACGATTATTTGATATTCTTGTGCATTCTTTTAAAAATACGTAGGCTTGTCATTTATTTCTGGTTAAACTTTTGTGTGTACTATTTGTGCTTTGGTTGCTCAATGCATGTATGATACATTGATTTGACAATTTTCAAGTTTTTTTTTGTTAATGAGCCTTTTGAAACATGTTCATGTGTGCTTAGTGCGCAGGAAAAGGGAACTGGATTTATCAATTACTATGAACATTGCAGTCCAAATTTTATGTTGACAGATCTTTTGAAGTAGGGAATGGCTGTGCATGCTTAATTAGCAGTCTTTATTTCACTGGAAAATATTATTTCACTTTGTGCTAAGATTTTATGCTCAGGATAGTTTAAACTTGCAAATCATTGATTTCTCTGCTCACTTGCAGATGTGGTCAAAGCTTCACAAGGTTGGAAGTGAATTACTAGCTATTTCAAGGAGTCTTTCAAACAAGTCTACCTTTTGTTTCCGGTCTCAGGTACATGAATCGCAACTGCTCCTAAATTTTGTTATCTTTGATCAATCTCTCTCTCTGTGTCTGGTCATGCTCATATATACTTTCCACTCGTATGTGCTTCATTTCTTTCACTTTTGGTCTAACTTGTGTGATATGAGATTGCTAATCATCTCTTCTGGTGCAATGGAGCACAAATATAACAACGTTCATAAATCATTGTTATCTCATGATATCTTCCATGCAAGTGAAAATATGCCATGATCACAACAGTTTTGGATTTTCTTGTCATTACTAGAATTGGCTACCTATGTCGGCATCTCACTTAATCAACAGCCTAACACACACCTAAATTGCACAAGTTACATCTCTCCCCCTTTTAGCCTTTTTTGTCTCAGGGAAGAAATAGAGAATACAGAAATGGGTGAAAAGTAGATGTAGAAGAGAGACATAGTAGAAAAACAGGGTAGATTTTGAGATTTGTTGAAAGGAGGGAAATGAAGAAGAAGTGCGTAGAAATTAGGAGATTTATTCCTTCCAAAAGAAGGCATAAAGAGCGGTCTTTTTATGGTGTGGACTTCCTGAGTTTGACGATTTATGAAATGTGTAGTTCACTAGTTCTAACATCAAGCTCTTGCTCTGAGCACCGTACGATTTCAGTTCAGTTCCACTGCAATAGGTTTAACATAGTTCACAAGATATTATATTTGAAATTTTGAATCTTTGCATGATTGAAATAGTAGTTATTTGAAGATATTTACAGCTCCTAGTACTAACTTGTATTTTGTTATAAATTTTCAGTTTGTTACAGAGGAACCTGGCACGAATTGCCAAGCAGACAGTCTGAAGCCAAGGACCTGCAAGCAATGTGGAGAGACTGCACATGGAACGGATTCCTTAGTTTGTGATACATGCGAGCAGATATACCATGTTTCCTGCATCCACCCTGCTGTTAAAGAAATCCCATATGCAAAGAACTGGTATTGTGCCAAGTGTACTAAAGAGGATATTGAACACGCCAACTGTGTAGTTTGTGAAAGACTCGATGCCTCTAAAGAAGAACCCCATGATGACGAGCTTACGAAATTAGAAAAGCAGATTGAGATGGAGAGCTCAAATGGCTTAATGGATGACGACAATGACAATGAACATGTCCAATATTTTGACGAAGAGCCCATATGCAATGTCTGTAAAACAGAGGCAAAGTATGGTGGTGAGAGCTTAAAAATGTGTAGTCACAAATTCTGCCCTCACAAATTTTACCATGAGAGATGCCTGAGTTGGGAGGAGTTGTGTTGTCATGGTCCCATATGGTATTGTCCGTCTTGTCTTTGCAGAAGATGTCGCAAAGATTGTGATGACACTGAAATTGTTCTGTGTGATGGATGTGACCATGCATACCATATATACTGCATGAGACCCCCAAAGTCTTCGGTTCCAACGGGGAAATGGTTCTGTGAAAAATGTGAAGCAGGTATACAGCGCATATCCAAGGTGAAAAGGTCATATGAGAAAATTGCAAAGAGATTGAAAGAGAGAGATCAGGTGTGTGGAGTGTTACACAAGGAAAAAGGTAACAGTGAGGCTTTATATAAGTCTGGCGGTGGTGGTGTAGACATGCTACTCAATGCTGCTAAAACTCTTAACTATGAGGAGAATTTGGCTGTCACCGGGTCAGAAGCCAGTTAGTTTAGGCTAAACAAAGAATCTGGTGTTTTTGGAACTTTGTAAACTGGGCACATTGTGCTTTTTTTGTATTAGGGGGTATATATGCATACAAGGGAAATCAGACCTGTACTACTACTACTAGCTCAAGTTTCAACTTGTAGCCTTTATTTTTTTGTACCATGCAAATTGATTGTATAATTGACCCGTTGACCGACTGACTGAGCCAGGCTCTAGCAAACCATGCCTGAATTGGTTCAGGTTTCATGTTCTGTATTCTTTTTGGTAATGAAATAACTGATGCTTGTGAATTGTGATTTTGCTTGAGAACACAAGTTGAAGTTGAAGTTTAATGCAGAATTGCAATTTAAGGTTGATCATGATATGTCCCCTCCCCCCCCCCCCCCCCCCCCCCAAATGCTGGCTAGGTTGAAATGAAAGATTAATTGGTTTTTTCGTACATTTTGAGTTTAAAATATTGTCATCAATTACTGATTTACCACTTTCTTGGGTATTCCTTTCTTTTTTATCCTGTCTTTTAAGATGTTTATTATTGGATTATAATTTTTTGGTCTGATTTGTACAACTCTAGTCTTTGAAGTGATTTAGTAGATGACTTTTTCATGTGTACTTTACAATTGTTGAAGCCTGTTATGGGATTGAAATTAGTCCCATTGAAAACATCCTTAACGGGTAGAGCTTTGCCTGGTTATATAATCCTCAAGCAAACCGTTTCAGCCGCTTAGAAGTGCCTGTGTTAGTGTGATGTGTTTCCAAAACAATATAAAGTTCAGTTTGAAGTGCACTGATCAAAGATGCAATAAATCTCCCATACAAAATATACAATCAAGGAATAATCATTCTGCAGTCCCAATTACAATTACCACCATAAACAAGTAAAATACAATGCCATGCAATTCATGTCTTCAATCCATAATCTGTAGGCCTTATGGAATAGTACAGTATACTACAGCACAATATGGCTGTTCTAGATGGGGATATCGGTCGGGTAATCCTTAGGGTGTCTCATAACAGCGTCTCTTAATGATTTTTCCTGTTCTTTGAGGTTTGAAGGCGGATGGTCATAAACATCAGTAAACAAATTTGACAGTGAAGGTTTCTCCATCCTCTCTGCTTCTTGAATTGCTTGTAAAACTTGAACTCTGGTATCCTGGCGAAGTTGAGTTTCCTTCTCATCATTCCACCATCCCTTCTTCTGTATCCATTTTCGGAACCTTGCCACGGGGCTTCGTGTTGTCTTCCAGTGCTCGATTTCTTGTGTTGGGCGGTACTTGGTGGAATCATCAGATGTTGAATGGTGAGATACACGATACGTTAGGGCCTATAGATAAGGTGTTTGATTTTTTACAACATCATAGGAGTGGAAACAATACACACACACAAACAACAGTTATACTACCTCCATGTTCCATCTCTAAAAGTTCTTGTAATGTCCTTGTGATATGTGATTGTGAGTACTTAATAGCATTAGGCGGGGATATCACACATGGATGGTAAAGTAAAGTAAGACTTTTACTTTAACCAAAGGAAAAAATCCGAAAAGAAAAACATAGTTTTATAACTTTATTTTAGGATGGAGTAAAATGTTTAGTATGAAGTCAATATGCCATTTCTAGTGAAGGATGGAGCAGTTATGTTGATGATGAATAAAAGTCTATTTGGTAGCCAAATGCGGAGCCTATAGTAGCGCAATCACAATCAGCTTTTGATTTACTTGTTTGGTTGGAGTGGATTTATCGAACATATTTCCTTTTAAAATTCAGTAAATTAAGCTATATGAGCCAAAAAAACATTTCCAAATGGCTTTTTAATTAATACCTCAACAAGTATGGGGGCTTGTTGCTTGATGGCCATTTCGCGAGCAACACGGATGGCATGGTAGACTGCAAGGGCGTCATTTCCATCAACACGAATACTTTTAATCCCATAACCTTTTCCTTTACTCGCAATTCCATCACCTATGTACACAATAAACACACTCATTTTAGTGGCCAAACTAATTGAAAAAAGCGAGCTAGCAAGAGCTGCTATAGTATTTCTTATATATTATGTAGTATTACTTCGGAATTGTTCAGCGAGAGGAGTGCTAATGGCCCATCCATTGTTACGACATATGAACACCACAGGTGCTTCCATAACTGCTGCAAAATTTAAGCCAGCATGGAAATCTCCCTCGCTTGTGGTTCCATCTCCAAAATAAGTCACTACACAAGCGTCTTTACCCTCCATTTTCAGTGAATATGCCGCTCCTGCCGCTTGAGGTATCTGTGTGCTATGGAAAGATATATGATAGGAGTTTAGCTTTACTTCATGATTATTGTTTTTATTTTTCCACATAACGTTCATTTTTTATCATAGAAAAAGATTTGAACTCTTACGCGAGAGGGGAAGAAATTGTGAAGATATTATGTTTGTTGGAACCATAGTGAATGGGCATTTGCCTGCCTTTCCCATAGTCATACTTATTCCCAAAGCATTGGTTTGCCATTTCTTGCAGGGTGAAGTCTCTCCATAACAGAACCCCTAGTTCCCGGTACTATATATATCCCATATGATCATAATTTGGATGTTAGATATGTACAAATTAAATGAACATGGCTTTTAAATTACTCGCACAACAAAACCATTTATAAAAAAATATGTCTCACATCGCCTAATTATAAAATAAAAAACAATATAAAAGACCTTGATTTATCACTCATATCAGATTGATCTTTCAAGATGTAACATCAACATTAACACACACAAAAAGTACAGTACTAGTAAGTAGTAATGAACCTGAAGCATTAAAATGTCTTGGGGGGAGAGGGCAGCCGCAGATCCTATGCTGACAGCTTCTTCTCCATAGGAGGTTAAGAAGAAGGACAATCTCCCCTGCCTTTGCGCTTCATAAAATATGGTGTCTGTCGTTTCAACACTCACCATTGTACTATACATCTTCACTGCCATTTCTTCTTTCACCTTTTAGAGAAAGGTTAATCTATTCAGAATGTGAGTTGAATTAACTTTTTTTTTTGCTAATTTTCTTTATTATGGTATGAATGTATGATCCAAGTCGATGTGTAGTTGTGACCCAAACCAATTCTGAAACTATATTCACTTTCGTTCATTACAAGTTCATATTATCTCTGCCACATTCCATTTTTGGCAATTTTCATACTTTTTGGAATGTGTCATATTATTCTTTTGTTTTTTACACAGTACACAGCAATACAATTTTAATCTTAATTTAACTGAAAAACTTCTGAAACGAGCCTAATGGAATATCTAAACATTTAAGGTGGTTTTTTTTAAAACTAATTTAAAGTTGAATTGAATAATGAAAAGTTTGAGTTTTACCTACTTATTAAGAGTGGTTGAAAAAGAAAAGAGGAGCCGGTTGAAATGCGGTAGAAAAGCATGAAATCATAAGAAACACTTCTTTTTTCCTTGCTAAAAAACTATTCAGATAAAGAAAAGGAAAACATGAATATGATTTCGGTGGAGTAACGAACTACCTGTTCCAATGCGGTGCAGGCGGGCAAGAGATTGCCGTCATCATCAAGAACACGAAAACAGGGGATCCTCCCATCTTCATCAATAGCTCCAGTAATAAACTTCATCTTCGTCGTGAAAGGCACCTTCCCGCCTGGGAAATCCAATGCCTGATCATTTAAAAATCATTTCAAAGCTAATTTCTAGTAACTGTTTTCCGTCAGATCAATTGCACATATAAAGATCAATCAATGTGTGTGGCGGCGCGTGTAAACAGTACTAAACGCGCTACAGAAAGTGAGCAAAGACAATTTCTGTCCTTAGCTGGTCTGAGATTCCAGCCAGAGGTTCCCATTTGAGAGCGGGCGAGTTAACTCACCGGAATTTTAGCGTCTTCATCCCCATCGCTATCCGTATACAGAGCAGGAGACTCACGTGCCATTGCGCCCGTGGACTTAAAACGGCGAAGGGAGGGAATGGTAGAAGCCGCCGCAGCAGCAGGGCAGCCGCCTAGTGAGAATAACAATCTTTTGTGATTTTGGATGATGAGCGTTTTCATTAGGGAACCCATTTTAGAATGTGTTCGATTAGCAAGCTTAACAAGATTCATATGCTAGCAAGCAAAATATGTGTTGGAGGAAGAAGATAGTTTAACAAAGAAGATGAAAAGAGGATTTTTGATGTGATTTGTTCAATATGGTTACGAAAAGGTGATGTGGATGAGAATGGATACATCGCATTTGAACGTTACAAACAGCACAATGATGATTGACTCTTTATAGCAACAATTTTAGCGAGCACGTTGCGTGCTCTTTATTGAGCACGTAGCTCATTTCACCCGCCCCATATTAACAAAAAGCCAAAAAATGCTCCGTATGAACTATTAAGTATAATTAAGTACAATTACGTATTAAGTTAAAATATAATTTTTGTTTCAATTTTTAACAAATAAGATGAGCGTACATATAGAAGATCTTTCTACGTAAATCTTTTGTTCAGTTTTTTTTTCTTCTGAAATTAAATGTGCTACGTATTTCTACATTTAATTCTTAATCTTATACATACTACATAATTTCATAAAACTTGATCATATTGACTTTATTGATCAATTATGGTCAAATTTGATCATTGATATTTTTAATACCGAAATTGCGATGATAAATATGTACTCCATCAGTTCTATAAAAATTGATGAACTTGACTTTTCTTAGTCAATAATCACAAATTTTGGACAATCATTTTGGTTTTTATCATCATTCTAACTAGGGATGGGCAAACGGGTACAGGAACCGCGGGTCGGGTAATACAGGTTCGAGACGGGTTAGGGTCGGATCCTAATTTTAGAAAATCCAAACGGTTCGGGGCAGGGCGGGTGCTTAAAAACCTAGGAACCGAACGAGTACTAAATTTTGAAAAAACGGGTACCCGAACCGAATCATTTTAAAATATTATTTTAATACTCTATTATATTTAATATAATATATTAATAACACCCGAGAGTTCTTCATGTTCTTATATCTAGACAATGACTCTCAATTGAAGTAACTTTTCAATCAACTAAATCATTTAGTTGATTGACTCCCAATTAACGACTAGCACATTTTAGGACATTGGTTGTTATATTTGTGCAAAATTAATAATTTTTATCCTTTTATTGAAATATTTTTAACAAATAACCTTTCCATATAATTTTCATACTTTGTATAAATTCGTATTAAAAATATCAATGGTCAAATTTGACCATAATTGATCAATAAAGTCAATATGATCAAGTTTTATGAAATTATGGAGTATGTATAAGATTAAGAATTAAAGGTAGAAATACGTA